AATTGAGGATTGTCCTTTCCACCTCTTCAGCACATCTTTCATAGATACAGAATTAAAACCAGGTACTATGAGGGCTCGCTGGATTTTTGGCTCTCATAAAGGTGTTTTTATGTATAGATGGTTGCTAAATTGGTGTCTTTGTGGGGACAGACAATCAGTGGTGCCTTCTATTCCAACATCTTATTCCGCCTTGTGAAGGCAACTTTGAAACTGGATTTCTAAATATTATTCTAATATTGAGGCATGACCTCCCTTGAGAAATGAAATTGTAAAATGTATTAGTTTACTAGATTAGGGGAATAATTCTATATTCTCTTAAGCATTCAAGATATCAAACTTTGGGAAGAATCTGGTACTTTCTTGGTTCCTTGCTGATATGATTTGGCTCTGTGTCCCCACCAAAATTTCACGTCAAATTGTAATTAATCCCCAGGTGTTGGGGGAGTGGCCTGGAGGGAAGTGATTGAGTCACGGAAGCAAACATCCCCCTTGCTGTTCTCATGATAGAGTTCTCACAAGATCTGGTTGTTTGATAAGTGGGTGGTGCTTCCCTCTTCTCTCTCTCTCTTCCCTGCCACCATGTGAATAAAGTCTTTGCTTCCACTTATCCTTTCACCATGATTATAAGTTTTCTGAGGCTGCCCCAGCCATGCAGAACTGTGAGTCAATTAAACCTCTTTTCAGTTCTTTAGACCAGTGTGATAACAGACTAATACACTTGCCATTATATCCTAGTATCAGTCAATAGAGTCAGGACTCATTGAAAGAGCTATCTATGTTATGGAAGAGCCAAGCTTCCCACCCTCATCCCTATGCATCAAAAGCCCCACATGCACCACTCTACACCATCTTTGTCTCACTTGTCTCTCATCCCAGCCACCACTATGGCTACCAGCTCTACATGGGCTCTCAACTGAACACAGGGGACTACATGACAGCACCTTGCTTCAGGCCTATATACTGTGTGTCTCTCACCTCTCATCAAAAGCTTCCATGTTGACACCAAAGTTTGGGATATCACCAGACATCATGGGACCTTGCTGGGCACTCACACATACAGTTGACCCTCTGTGTCCATGGGTACTACATCCATGGATTCAACCAACTGCAGATGGAAAGTACTCAAAAGAATAAAAAAAGGATGGATCTGTACTGAACATGTACAGACTTTTTTCTTGTCATTATTACCTAAACAATACAGTATAACCACTATACACACAGCATTGCATTAGGTATTATATCTAGAAGTCATTTAAACTATGTAGGAGGATGTGCATATGTTATATGCAAATACTATACCATTTTATGTATGGAACTTGAACATCCAAGGATTTTGGTATCCAAGGAGGATCCTGGAACCAATCTCCAATAGATACCAAGGGACAACTACACACAACTTGGAAATGTAGGCAAGTTAATATCTCTGGAGGTGTGCCTTTGGCTAATGGAAGTTGACACCATTAGATAAGTCTTTCCTTCTTCTCTCCAACAGACTGTTTCATGTATAGGACCTGGAGATTATATAGCCCCATACAGTCGAGTGATCCACGACATTTAGCAACAGCCACTTTGGTGACACATCTTTATATTGGCTCTCCCTCCTTTCCTTCTTCACTATAGTTTCTCACTCCCTACTAAATTAGTAGTGCATAGGGCTCTGTTTTCTGGGGAAGCCAGCTTAAGCCACTCTACCGCTCAAAAGAAGTTTGTGGTTTTATACTGCAAGAGAGATTCCAGAGCTCATTAAACTGCAAGCTACTATTTCTGCTTTCTTTTCCTTAATTGAAAGACCTTGGAGGCAGAAGAATAAAATCAAAACTTTGCTACTTCCTCACTCACTACTTTGCCTAACCTATTACAAACATCAATCTTCATAAAAAATAGTCTCAAATGAGGTCTTTGTATTAGTGTCCATATACCATTTCAGGTTGACAATGAGGATAGTCTGAAGAAAGAATCATGGTGTACACTAGCCTATCGCAGAGCTGCAATTCTGAACAGTGACCCTTTCATGATGGCTCAAATTCAGGCCCCAAAGGATTCTACCTCTTATAAGTAAGCAGAGCAATGCTGAACATCTCAAAGCTAAAAAACAAGACTGGCACTGTTCTATCATACTGAAACAATCTGAGAAATCATTTCATCCATATAGCATAATTCCCCAAAGTCAAATTATTAATTATATAGATTTTTTTCTTTCTTCCTTTTATTTTTAAGAAGGTGGGGGGAGAAGTACAAGATAGCTACTCAGATATGTCACAAAGATTAACCACTAATATAATGTCTTAAAACTGCCTTTATTATTCAGGAAAAGAAATATGTTTGCAAATTAAGTTATCTAATATAACAAAGCAAAAAAGTAATTATGCAGCTAACATAACATAAATTTAGCAGGAGTGAACTATTTATTCAATTAAGAATTATTGTACATATACTGTATACTGAGTATTAAAGAAACAAAGCAAGCAAAAAAAGCCTCTGCTATATGGACATTGTATAGTTTAGTAAGTGACATAAAAAAACTAAACAGATAATAACACAAAAATTCCATTCTTACAATTACAGTATGAAGACTGAGGACTCAGAAAAAGCCTCATGAAAGAAGAAACTTTAAAACTGAGATCTCTTGTGGGGGACAGAGGACAGTAGAGGTGGAAAGCATTCCAGTTAGAGAAAATAAAATATGTGAAGATCCTGAGACAGCACAGAGGTTGACATCTTACATAAACAGGCCACTGTGACTGGTGTTCACGGAGTACATGGCAAGCTTATTGGAATGGAGGCTATAGAAGGAGGCAATAAAAGGGACCAGATTATGCAGGGCTTTGTAATTTCAATCATGTTATGCAGTAATACTGGTAACTATAACATTAACAATTTTTAATTCTATCACTTTTCATGAGATAAAAACGGATAATATAATTTTATTACAATTGCTAGGCTAGTTAAGTTTATTTTCTTTTTTTTTTTTTTTTTTTTTTTTTTTGTCTCACTCTGTTGCCCAGGCTGGCATTCAGTGACATGATCTTGGCTCACTGCAACCTCCACCTCTGGGGTTCAAGATATTCTCCTGCCTCAGCCTCCCAAGTAGCTAGGACTACCAGTGCACACCACCACACCCAGGTGATATATTTTTTTTTATTTTTATTTTTATTTATTTTGGTAGAGATGGGGTTTCACTGTGTTGCCCAGGCTGGTCTTGAACTCCTGAGTTCAGGCAATCCGCCCATCTCAGCCTCCCAAAGTGCTAGGATTACAGGAGTAAGCCACTGTGCCCACTGGCTAGTTAAGTTTCTAAACTGAAAATTAAAGGCTAATGGTCAAGTTTCCTAATGAAATATCACTATTCTCTTTTCTTCTAGTTCTGTAATGATTGTTTTTAAAGAACAAGATAGAGTGTTATCAGCAAGATGGCTGACTAGAAGCCCCTGACACTCATCCTCCTCATAACAACAGCCAGAACAACAAAGAAATAACTACATTTGGATACACCACCTCCACAACCCTATCCCCTCAACCAGGATCAGCTGGGAATCAGGAGGAATTCTGCCCTATAGTGAAGAGGTAACCAAGAATATCCCACTAACCCCCATCAAAACCCTGGACACCTACAGACCTCACCACTGTCGTCTCCTGCAGTCCTCAGAGGCATTAAGCCTAGCTGAGGGAGCCTCCTGCAATCCACATATCTGTGATACGCCAAAGAGGAGCCAACACTATGCCCTGCCCTCTGTGGCTCATGAGGCTACTGTACTAGCCATCTTAAAATTGCAAGTATTTGGTGAGTGTCCCCAGAACCACCCTAGCCTGGTGGACTAACACCCACAAGTCATGCAGCAAATAGCTGTTATACCCTTTGGGACCTCCATGCTTTGGATAGGAATGTGATCTTACATGTTAACAACTTCAGCAACACCCCTAGATCTCTTCTCTGGAAGGAAACAACAGAGTGACTTCAGGGATGACGAGTTCACTCTCATTCTTTAAGCACTTAAATTACCTTTAAGAAATCTCAGTCCTGGGCCAGGTACGGTGGCTCACTCCTGTAATTGCAGCACGTTAGGAGGCCAAAGCAGGAGGACTGCTTGAGTCCAGGAGTTCAAGACAAGCCTGGGCAACATAGCAAGACCCCATCTCTACAAAAAAATAAAAATTAGCCAGCATGGTGGCACATGACTGTAGTCTTGGGAGGCTGAGGTGGGAGGATAGCTTGAGCCCAGAGTTTTAGGTTCCAGTGAGCTATAATGGCACCAATGTACTCCAGCCTAGGCAACAGGGTGCTACTCTGTCTCAAAAAAACAAAGAAGAAGAAGAAGGAATCTTAGTTCCTTCTTCATAGTTTTTATCAGAGATTATAAAAAGTCATTTACCCCAGCTGATTTTCCACACTTCTGTCTTATAAGCCTACATACACATTCATTCCTAAACCTGAAAAAAGCTTACTAACCTTAAACAAATAGAGCAGAAAACCCTGACATGAGTGTAAAATTACTATCCCACAATAGAAAAGACAAGTGGATCCTACTCAAAATCTCTAATAAGCACTGTGTCATCCTCAATAAAATACTTGACATATCAATTTTAGTAAACCCTCTCCACAGGTCTTAAAATTTTCCTACTTTATTAGCTCAGCGCATTTAAAGACTCAAGTAAAACTAAGTTGTAATAAATTCGCCAGTATTCTGAAAGTGATTTTTCATTAAAAAAAAAAAAACTATGAAACAAAGCAGATATTTCTACTTATAGAAGTCACTTTAGAAAACTTAGTGAAAATCCTGAACATCGTCACAAAAAAAATATTACTTTGGTGAAATGCAGCAACACGTCTCTTGTGCAATGACCATTTAATATTCATTTGCCATTTCAACTGAAAACCTTAAATAAAATTTCTAGGACTATAATTTGGCTATACCATAATATGAAATTTGAATGTGACATTATTTAGAAAGTTAAAATGGAGGAAAAAAGTGGTATTTGTTCTTTTTTAAGAAAAGGTTGCTTTTCTCTCTCTTCCCGCCGCCCAAGATGCCGAAAGGAAAGAAGGCCAAGGGGAAGAAGGTGGCTCCGGCCCCTGCTGTCGTGAAGAAGCAGGAGGCCAAGAAAGTGGTGAATCCACTATTTGAGAAAAGGCCTAAAAATTTTGGCATTGGACAAGACATCCAGCCCAAGAGACCTCACCCGCTTTGTGAAATGGCCCCACTATATCAGGTTGCAGCGGCAGAGAGCCATCCTCTATAAGCCGCTGAAAGTGCCCCCTGCAATTAACCAGTTCACCCAGGCCCTGGACCTCCAAACAGCTACTCAGCTGCTTAAGCTGGCCCACAAATATAGACCAGAGATGAAGCAAAAAAAGAAGCAGAGGCTGTTGGCCCAGGCTCAGAAGAAAGCAGCTGGCAAAGGGGACGTCGCCACTAAGAGACCACCTGTCCTTCAAGCAGGAGTTAACACCGTCACCACCTTGGTGAAGAACAAGAAAGCTCAGCTGGTGGTGACTGCACACGACGTTGATCCCATCGAGCTCGCTGTCTTCTTGCCTGCCCTCTGTTGTAAAATGGGAGCCCTTACTGCATTATCAAGGAGAAGGCAAGACTGGGACGTCTAGTCCACAGGAAAACCTGCACCACTGTCACCTTCACACACGTTAACTCGGAAGACAAAGGTGCTTTGGCTAAGCTGGTGGAAGCTATCCGCCCCAACTACAATGACAGATATGATGAGATCCGCCGTCACTGGGGAGGCAATGTCCTGGATCCCAAGTCTGTGGCTCGCATCGCCAAGCTCGGAAAGGCAAAGGCTAAAGAACTTGCCACGAAACTGGGTTAAATGTACACTGTTTCTGTAAATAAAAATAATTAATGCAAAAAAAAAAAAAAGGTTATATTCATGTTTAGATGCTAGTTTCTCCACGGACACTTAGGTTTTATTCTAAATCCCACTAGCGTCCCAAAGTAACCGGTCATCTTCAGTCATTATAATGTCAGCTTGTTGATGTTTCTGCATAATGTCCTTTCTACAAACTGGCTTAATTTTCCATTACCATAATTTTGCATAACATAGAAAAATCACCATTGTCATTTTAAGCTGACAGAAATATTCTCAGCCTGAGAAACCCAAAACTATTATAAACTTAAAATCTTCTTTAATTACTTTTTAAAAATCGAACAGAAAATTTCTCTGGGTAATGAAAACTAAAATGTCTTAATTGCAAAAATTATTGTTTTTCTACAATTCCCCCCAACCTCCCAAAAAAAGGAATGAATAGAATGTGGATAAATGTTTGATCTGTCAACCCTAACACATCGTTTTAAAATGAACACACTGTCAAAAACTACATTGCCATACAGCTATTTAAATCATAAAAAGAAAGGCAGTTCTGAAGTCCCATTGCTTGCAAGGCTGTCCACCTTAGTCTAAGAACAGAGGAACACCATAAAGGTGGGATTCAGTTCACTGGTCTATCTCCCCAAAACCTGAACTGCTGAAAACAAGTCTTTCATAGTTTTTCTTTATTGTTAATTAGGTAATTTTGTATTGCATTGTGTTTTCTATAATAGAGAGTAGAATAGGACAAATTAATATGATAAAATGTAGAAATGTCAAAATGACGCCAATTAGTAGAATGGTGGAAGGTTTTTTAAGATTCAAAAGTAATTTATAAGTTAGGCTTTAAAGATTCCACATTTTTTTAAGTGAACGCTTTAATCGTTCAGTTTATTTCTTAGAGGACCTAAGATCAGCTTGTCAACAAGTCGTTTTTTTTTTTTTTTTTTCAGCCTTACCAAGATTTCCAGTACCTCATCTTTGCCAGAAAGCCTATTTACTGGCAGCCAATTTGCAAACATCAAATTTAAGATTACAGCTTCAGTAAAACAAGAAGAAAGAAATTAAAGCTCACTTCGAGTACTTATGTTGGCATATACCAAGCAGACTTCTTAAGAAAAGAATGGCACTGAGGGCTCCATTTTGCCATTCCTCATGTTCTGCATGTATTTGTTTTCATATTGCTTTAATCAAGAGACAAATTATAATGAATCTATAATTTAAAGTATGCAAATCTCATTACTCCTTCTTGGCTCATGTCATATATTTGCAAACTAAGAATGTGTTCCACTAAAAAAGTTAAGAAAACAGAAACTAAAATAACAACTTTTTAAGTTTATGTTTCATGAAACAAAATAATTAAGTGGGTGCTTGCAATATACTACTGCTAGGGTCAATTTTAATATCACTGAAATCTTTAAGTTTTCTTCAAAATGTTAGGGAGAATGTTTACTGTCTCATAAAGAATTATGCAAATTGGCTCCAACAACTAAACCACAAACAAAAGCACCTTAAATGATATAAACAATGCCAAATTAACTTTTAATGATAACAAAATAATACTTCTATTACCTACAGAGATAATCCAATAAATACCCAGTAGTAAATATAGTCATTTTGTCTAGAACAATGGAAAACAGAAAGCCCAATAAGAAGCAAAAAAATTATTCAATTTTATACTCATAATCACAAATCAATAAACCAATTTCCCATAAAACCACTCTTTTTTTTGGAGAGAGTCTCACTCTGTTGCCAGGCTCTAGGCTGGAGTGCAGTGGCACAATCTCAGCTCACTGCAACCTCCACCTCCCGGGTTCAAGCAATTCTCCTGCCTCAGCCTCCCGAGTAGCTGGGACTACAGTCACATGCCACCACGCCCAGCTAATTTTTGTATTTTTAGTAGAGACAGGGTTTCACCATGTTGGCCAGGATGATCTCGATCTCTTGACCTCGTAATCCGCCCGCCTTGGCCTCCCAAAGTGCTGGGATTACAGGCTTGAGTCACCGTGCAATTCCTTTTTTGTTTCCTCGCCTTTTTTTTTTTTTTTTTTGGTGAGACAGGACCTTGCTTTGTAGTCCAGGCTGGAGTACCATGGTGCAGTCATGGCTAACTGCAGCCTTGACTTCCTGGGCTTAAGTGATCCTCTTACCACAGCCCCCCGAGTAGCAGGGGATACAGGTGTGAGCCACCTTACCCAGCTAATTTTTTAATTTTTGTCTTAGTATGTTGCCCACGCTGGTCTTGAACTCCTGGGCTCAAGCAATCCTCCCACCTCAGTCTCCCAAAGTGCTGGGATTACAGCCATGTGAACCACCAAGCCAAGCCAATTCATTTTTTGATAATAACATTTCCTTGTTTTTAAAGCTTTTGATAGCTTTATGCTTAAAATCTAATAACAAAAGCAGTAAATATTAAAGAGGTATTAAAAAATTACTTCTTTCTAGTAAAGAGGCTGGGGGAAAAAAATAATGTTTTGGAAGCTTTTATAACACTTTAAAACAAATCTGACCAAGAAATCTGACTAGAGAAAATAATTTTCATCTCTTCTAAACACAAATATATTTTCTATTCGAATAAGCCCATATGTCCACACATTTAATGTAAAGAGAAAATAATGATGATCTATCATTTTTGATCACTTACTATGTGCCAGGAACTCTGCTAAATGCATTATATTTATATTAATCCTCACAGTAGTTATAACTATTTTACATATGGGGGTCTGAGGCACAAAGAGATTAAACAATTTACTCAAGTCATAGAAAATGGATGGAGCTGAGATTCAAACCCAGATGCCTAGTACCTTGTCTGATTTGTTTTTACATATATACTTTTTTTATTTTATTAAAATTCAGTGCTCTACATGTTCAGAGAAACCTCTCTAGTAGTGAATTATAGAAATTATTCCTGAAAGTACAGTCTTCCATGTCTGCTTTCTGAATCAATATACAGCAGGTCCTCCAATAAAATTGTTTTCTTTCAACATCATTTTGTTGTAACATTAATGAAGAAAAAAAATCAATTTCCAGCCATGGCCACAAGTCTTCTGTGGAGTTTGCATGATCTCCCCAGGTCTGCATGGGTATTCTTGGGCTCTCTGGTTTCTTTCCACAAGCCAAAGCTATGCACACTAGATGAATTGCTGTGTCTATATGGTCCCAGTCTGAACAAATGTGGGTGTTTGAGTGCACCTTGTGATGGAATGGCCTCCTGTCCAGGGTTGATTCCTGCCTTGTGCCCTAAGCTGCCAGGTTAGCTCCAGCCACCCCCAACCCTGAACCAGAATAAGTGGGTTGGAAAATGAATGGATACAAATGATTGCCAAATAAAAATTAGTGGGTCAGGTGTGGTGGCTCACACCTGTAATCCCAACACTTTGGGAGGCCGAAGCGAATGGATCACTTGAGATCAGGAGTTCCAGACCAACCTGACCAACACGGTGAAACCCCGTCTCTACCAAAAATACAAAAACTAGCTGTTTGTTGTGGTGTGCACCCGTACTCCCAGCTACTCAGGAGGCTGAGGCAGAAGAATCACTTGAACCCGGGAGGCAGAGGTTACAGTGAGCCAAGATCACACCACTGCACTCTAGCCTGGGCAGCAGAGTGAGACTCTGTCTCAAAAAAAAAAAGTAGTAAAGTATATGGTAATCATACAAATGCACAATAAATGATGCAGTAAGAAAGGGCTCAACGATCTGCCATATTGGTTACTGCTCAAATGCATAGTGGTAGGAGATATTCCTCATAAATTTCATTTTGCAAACACCTATTCCTCAACTTAACCCCCCACTACTATGACTGCTTTCACTAAAAATTGTGTAAATAATTATCTTATTTTTATTAATCTTTCTTAAATGTATTTGTAACCCACATTTATTTCATTGTTTAACACTAGAAGTTTTTTGAGTCTTAATTCAGAAGTTTGGTGAAGTTTTTGTGACCAGAAATATGCCATAGGAACTTAACTCTTATTTATATCAATTAACTTAACCTATTTCACGTAAAGTCACAGTTTCCAAGAATCTACTAACTTAAGTGAGGACTTATACTACATTGTGTATAAAATATTCATTGTATCTGGCATAATGTCTGACACCCAGTAAGTACTAAATAAAAATGCAACTGTTATAATAATATTTATCTCTTCTTTACTCACTCTGTGATAATTCCGGATTTCCTTTCAAATTCATCATCTTTGGAATTGAAGGTCCATACACATCCACATCTAGCAAACCAATGGCCTTGGACTGTAAATAAATAAATAAATAAAAATAAAAAGCAAAAAAACACTTTATCATAAGATTGTTCCCACTCTTCTCAAAGATGAAGTATATAGCAACAGTAACCTGAGTATAGAAAATAAAACTGGCAAAATATTCCAAATCATAACCTAAATTTTCAAAGCAACAGTTAAATAAAAGAGCATAAATTGCTTAGAGTCTTTACTGATTTACTAGTATCATCTAGATAACTGACTAAAGAATTCTACCCTATATGCTTTACATACTGTAGTTCAGGTCTCCCAAATAGTCTCAAGCAGACTAAGACCTTTCAGATCTGAACATAAGTTTGAGAAAAAATTACATGCAAACAATTTCAAAATAATGATTTGTGATGGCAAACAAAACCCCAAAAAGGCAAGGCATTAACTTTTGGAATGCCTATCTAACACACCAAAGAAGACAAAATAAAAAAAGATCAAAGGAAGCAAGGCTATAATAAAGCACGTGAGAAATTCTGATGCAGATCTGGGATAAAAGAGATGGAAGCGCCAACAAGGATACTGGCACATCTAACACAGAGACAACCTCTTATATGCAAGTCACAATTAAATACTCAATGTTAGAGGATCCAGAAACAACTAAAACTGTTTTCTTTGATGATGCATCCAGCTGCTGAAGGACAGGATGCCCTGTCTGGTCTATTCGCTGGCTGTCAATTAATCAGCAGCTTAGCCAAGGAAAGGAAAACAAAATTCACTATTCAAAAATATATCTCTTTTTTTCTTCTT